ACGGATTCCGACCATTCCACTCACCTTTGTGTATCTCTTCACTACCATTAATGGGCGATAAGCCAAACTCGGCTTGATATATTGAGGGTGGAAATCGGGAGACGGCATAATGAATGTGGAATTTGTTAGGCCGAGAATACACTCCTATAACTAACGTAGATGTGTATAATTTATTCGACTCGTCTGCCTTTTCTTTATACACATTACCGTATAAGGTTTCTTGGGGAGAGGAAGAAATTTTCGAAAATATTTGCCGAATTAGACTTTATAATCACTTCTGGATTTTCACATGGTGTTTCTTATAACATACTTATATTCAAAAACGTTATTTCTGATATCATTATGGACGATAACTCAAAAAGTAAGTTTTTATCAGAAAACTCATTTTTAATGAAAATCCAACTTCTGAAAAACAAAAATAAATGTGGATTTATGATAAAATTGAAATTTTTACGGTGAAGTAACCGAAAAAACAATCTATTTTTCTGGTATAACTCATACAACCTTCTTTAAAGTGCTTGAAAAAATCTTCATTTCTGATTTTTATAGTCCTCAGTATCAAAACTAAGCGAGTTATGACCAAAATAGTTTTGATCTAATTTTTTTTCGGTAAAAAAATTTGAAAATCACCCCCTAATCACTACCCCAATTGAAAATAATAATAACCACTTTATCATTCACTTGCAATAAACTCTAGAAGTCTGACCGATTCGAAGTTCTCAGTTTCGAAAAAACTTCAGTTTGAAGTGTAAAGATATTTTTGTAATCTAGCAAAAAATGCATTTTCTTCAAAGCTTATTGTTAGATCACCTGAAAATGGAACTTTTAACAGGCGATTTTCGACTGTATTGCCAAACATGTGCCAATCTAACTGACTGTTATAAGAAAACAAGTATAGCTGAGGCACCAGTCAATTTAATAATAACACTGATGATCTTCAAACATTACTCAATCTCGGACAGAAGCACCAACCTGTTACGAAGGTTTGAAGTAGATGAACACTTCAATCTAGCAGAACCCTATTATGATCTTCATGCAGTCATTGTTCACTGTGGTTTTGGCATTATTACGCCTTGGTCAAAGACGAAACGGACTGTTTAAAATCTGTTCTGTTCTGTTTTCCCAGCTGTCGCACCCCTACGAATGACTACCCTCAGAAGTCGAAGCTTGCGCGAGCTAAGGATTAACGAGGTCTTACCTTTTAACGTGTTTGGTTTAAGTTTGACGATAGTCGTGTCACTAAGTGTTCTGGCGAAGTATTGAATTTGTTGGAGCCTCTGGAGACACCCTATATTTTATTTTATGAGAGACAGAGGACATTGGCATATTAAAATCTTCAGATGAAGTGGTACTGCAGGTTTTTCCGGGTTTTCCTGCAGCTGAAAACGCAAATGCGCCACTGGAATTAATAAAGTCGCCTCGGAGCGCCAATTAATTTTTGTTATTGTTTTTTAATTTCAGGATTTGTATTTTAAAAGTGTTTGAAATTTGAAACATAAATATAATACAAAAAAACTGGTCATCGCCAGATATTTCTTCGGCGCCAGCTTCCCAGGGTCGCCCATCAAAGTGGTCCTAGCAAAATTGCATCCTTTGATTCCATCTCATCTCTAGTTTGTTAAGATCAAATCGTATGGTGTAGTTTGTGAAATAAAATTAATGTCCTACCATTATATGTACTCCCATTATATGTACGGAGCTATTGTAAGGAATCACACATTGAAAGGTAAGACCTCGTTAGTCCTTAGCTCGCACAAGTTTCTCAACTTCTGAGAGTTGTCGTTCGTATGAGGGCGACAGCTGATCAATGGAAAAACAGATTTTGAACAGATTTCATTCAGAAATTCTATCCAAACATTCAGAATGAAAATTACGTTGCCGCAACTGATTTCAGTGAAAAACACACGTTGGTAGAGATTTTATCAATACTTTTATTTACATTAATGAACCACGATATCAATCGTATAGAAAAAAATCAGAAATCATGTCTCAGATGGATCTACAGTATTCTCAAAAGCTAAGATCCGCAAAATGGTTGAAAATGCGAAATCGTCGAAAACTTTATTCTCATATCCCAATCAATTATCAATAAACAGTATTCCCCATATCTTTACGATAAAATAAAATATTCAACAGATATTCATAACTTCAATTTACGTCATAAGGGTCATATCTCGCTTCCACCTTACAAAACTTCTCTGTTCCGAAGAAGCTACACCTTCAAGCTTTTTAATGAGATTGACCCATCATTTCGTACTATGAAACAATATTCATTTCGAATTAAAATGTTGGCCAAAGATGAATAACTCAATATTACCACATGTAATATTTATTTATACTTCAACATTTGTGAAATAAAAAAAATAATATTTGCTTGCCAACAATTATGATTCTACTTATGTTGACCTGGGGCTGAACTAGAACTTTTCCAAATTGTTTTCAGTTCCATTTTGCATTCCTGTTTAAATATTTTAATGTTTTTATTGGACCATGTAATTGATTGCAAATAAAAATTATTATTATTTTTTTTATTATTATTTAAAACTATTGTATTTTCAATCAAAAAGCTATCAATTTATTTAGGAAGTAGGATTATTGCCAAGTTTTAAGCGGTAAACATTCCATAAAGTTTTAGTTTATTAATTATTACAATATGTTAAAACAACAAAGTAGGATATTAAGTACTATTTTATTGAATTTATATTGCTTCCAGTAATAAAGTACCATTCCACTGCCAAAAAACTAGCATTTCATTAGCAATTATGAGGACATAAATCAGGTTTCATTTCAATTTGGGATCTTAGAACACTACTTCACAAGAAATGTAGTTGAATGAACTATTTGGAATGCGAATTAAATTTCAATTAAATCATACACGTGAATCTATCTTTCACTAGCCATATTTTCTTCAAGTTGTGTGATTGATGATTTGTTTACTTTATGGTAATTCATGATCACTTAAATGAAATGAATAAAAACACCTTTGTCTAAATACCATTGGAAAATTTTATTTTACGACCGGTTTCGGGTTTGATCCCATTATCCAGTATAAATAAAACTGAAATCTGAATTTGGAACCTCGATTTTATAGAATTTTCAGGTAAGCTGCAAGGACAGGTATTTGAGAAACAGGATGCCAACTTAAAATACCATCCTGAAAATTCTAGGGGTAACCAGAAACATATACCCCTAAACGAGCAACTTGATTTATGTAGGTCTCCACTTTTGAATTTATGAGTTTAACAACCCCTAGAATGTTCAGGATGGTATTTTGAGTTGGTATCCTGTCTCTCAAATACCTGGCCTTGCAGCATACCTGAAAATTCTATAAAATCGAGGTTCCAAATTCAGATTTCAGTTTTATACTTGATAATGGGATCAAATCCGAAACCGGTCGTAAAATAAAAATTTCCAGTGGTATTTAGACAAAAGTGTTTTTATTCATTTCATATAAATTTTCTTTAAGACTGCAAATGCAAAATACACGGATTACAAGTTCAGCGCAGAGTTGTCAATTTCAATAAAAAATGTTCACCTTATGAAAATTTACATTGTTGCAAAAAATCTGAAAAGAAAGTAGTAGGTCCACTGTTGTAATGTGTAATGTGTATATTAGAATATTTACTGCCTTCAGCTCAGTACAGATAAGAAAATCACATCAAAAATACAGTTAACAATTTTAATACGAACAAATCTTATTATTCAAAGCAAACAAAAAATATTTTTGAAAATCGTTTAATTGGACATTTCTCACATTCACATATCATGAGAAAATTATCACCGAGTAAAAAAAATGAGAAGTATAAAAATTAAAAATGAGCATACAATTAAAAAATATATGGGAAGGTAATGAATTGGTACATTTTTCCGTTTCAAAAATGAACAAAATTTTATTGAAATCGGTCAGAAATAAAATTATCTATGTACCACGGGAATTAATGAGCCTTAATAATTTTGGGCAATTGCTGTCCCTCGGGCCAGAGGCCCTCGGGACGCAAACTTTGCCATCGGTAATTAAGGCCCTCCTAATTCCCTTGATACATAAATAACTATAAAAAAACGCTCAGATGACCCATAAATAGTCTCTCTCGGAGGAATCAGTCCAGTCATCACCCGAAGACAATTGTGGATACTAACAATCGAAACGTCGCATCGTGAAGTAATTTGGTTTTGAATCTTTTTTTTATTTATTTTTTTTTAATTTTTTTATTCTTTTTTACTCTGTGATCTTGTTCATCTTTTATCTTGGTTATTTCATTCGTTTTATTGTATTTTCATTTCACGTTTTATTGCTTAATTTAATTGATATTTTAGCTATTCATTCCAATTTTATTTTACTGGTTGGGATTTCCATTGTCTAATATGATTCAAAATCAATGAAATAACAAATGAAATTGAAATGAACAGCTAAAATATCAATTATATAAAGCAATGAAACGTTAAATTACAATAAAATGAATAAAATAATCGAGATGAAAATTACCACAGAGTTAAAAGAAATCAAAATAAGCAAAAAATCAAACTATCAAAACTTAAATTTTATTTGTTCTTTCATAGAAGTGGACAATGATACCCATAAATCAAATATTTTTTGTACAGAATGTGAAGTTTTAACTGTTTAAAAAAATCTGTTCAAAATATGTTTTTCCGTTAATCAGCTGTCGCCCCTATACGAACGACAACTCTCAGAAGTTGAGAAACTTGTGCGAGCTAAGGACTAACGAGGTCTTACCTTTTAACGTGTGATTCCCAACTAGATTGAATAAATAATGATGAGTATATAGGGAGGGTAAGTGTAAGCCCACAGTACTTAGGCCACATGTGACCCATTGTACATCCTCCCGAGGAGTTGTCCTACTACGTTGCCAATTATTTCTTCGGAGCCAGCTTCTCATCCTTTGATTGCATCCCATCTCTTAGGGATTGAGCATGGATGTGACGTCTGGCTAGTTCCGGATAATAATGAATCATCTGGTCTCATAATATTTTTTTTGTTGCAGGTCCCAGATCTAGACGAACCAAAAAACCTCAGAAAAATAGTCCGGAAGACAAGCGCCCCCGAACAGCATTTTCCAGCGCCCAACTCCAGAGGCTCAAACACGAATTCAACGAAAACAGATATTTAACAGAAAGGCGTCGACAGCAGTTGAGCAGCGAACTGGGCCTCAATGAGGCCCAAATAAAAATCTGGTTCCAGAACAAAAGAGCGAAGATCAAGAAGTCTTCCGGTCAGAAAAACGCGTTGGCCATACAGCTGATGGCGCAAGGGTTGTACAACCACTCCACGGTCCCTTGTGATGAGGACGATATGCCCCTGTCGTCCTAAAGGGGTTTGTAGTTCCGTTTTGGAAATGAGCTCGAAGGAAATTTTGATCGAAACTGAGAAATGTCAGTATGTCACGCAAAACGTAGCTCCATCAAGAAAATACCAATCCACCACCATACAATTTAGAAGTGGATTAACAGATTTTGATAATTTTGGTGTAAAGTAAATGCGTACGTATCGTAATGCAATAAGGCAACTACCTTATCAGTAATATACTGTTCAATTCCTTTCAGATTAACTTCATAAGAAAAGTTCTGTCTCAGTAGATTCACTCCAAAGTCAATCTCAGCCTCAAAATAAAAAATTATTCCTCTAAAACGCTGAAGATCGTTCACTTTTGACCTCGAAGCGTTACTAGCAAGACATTTCGAACAATGAAAAATTGACATGAAAGCAATCATTCGAATTTGTTTAATATTATGGCCATATCACCCCAAACTTATATTGAAAAAAATGCCCAAAAACTATTTAGGGCGGCTAAAATTTTGATAGTTTATTTATTAGAATAATTTGATGACATAAGTGAAAAGCCAGACAAAAATAATTGCTTCCAGTATCTGCCAGACGTGATTGAAAATTTCAGATGCAAGTGGCAATCGTCACGGATAGATGTAAGAGCGAGTGAGACCGCATATCAGCAGTTTCTGAGATCTCAGTAGGCTTTGGAAGATATGGCAAGCACTAGTTGTAAAAATGTTGAGCCACATAAAATATTTCAGTTTATCGTGAAGCCTCATTTATTTCAAAGTAGAAAAATTATTACCTGGAAAAATGAAAATCCTAAACATTCAAATTTGTTTAATATAATGGCCATACTACCCCAAACTTGTATTGAAAAAATTGCCCAAAAACTATTTAGGGCGGCTAAAATTTTTATGGTTTATTTATTAGAAATATCTGATAATATAGATGAGAAGCCAGACAAAAATAATTGATTCCAGTATTTGCCAGATGTGATTGAAAATTTCAGATGCGAGTGACAATCGTCACGGATAGATGTAAGAGCGAGTAAGACTGCGTATCAGCAGTTGATGTGATCTCAGTGGGCTTTGTTCACAGAAAAGAAATTATATAGGTACTAATAACTAGAACGCGCATTTACTTGCAAAAATGTATGTGATACTCTGGCCATAATTTAAAACAAATTTAACTGCCTGGGACTTTTATTTTCAAATAATATATATATACTTTGCATTTCAGTTTTATACGAACTTATATATTTCCTGCTGTATCATGCGCAGTTGCAGCGAGTGCCGATTTTGTCTGCCAAATCCTCCATTTCTCACTGCTTTGGAAATAATCATTCATGAACCATACAAGTATGTTTCCCTCACAAAGACGCCACGTATGGAACACTCTAATCTTGCATATCTACGATAAACAATGACCTCTACGTCGGTCTCTTTTAAAGCCAATTTTCGATGTCGCCGTCGAACAGTAATTCGCCTTCATTATGTCTCTGCAGCTTTCACTGCAAGGAAACTAGACGAAACTATAGCCGAATGAAAAAACATACGTGATTCAAATCCAGACTCGATCAGCATTCGGTATCGAAATGTAGAGGCCCTTGTTTATCGGGCTTGTTCTTTGAGAACGACGAAGTTCAACAATGCATTCATGATTCAGCCCAGCACCATAGATCACGCATGATTTGTTTTTTGGCTCTGGTTTGAGTGTTCTGCTTGAATGAATTTAATTCCTTGGAAGTGGGAACTGAAATTGCCTTGGGAACTTTGCTCATCTTTGATAAGTCAAATTTGAGTTGTCTGTCGATCCAAGATACCTCATCTTCAAAAGGGAAGATCTATTTCATCTAACTTCATCCTAAGGATTGCTTGTTTGTAGTATTTCCCTATATTATTACGTTTTTTCCCGTGCGTTGATTATACTGAACAATAATTAAACTTAACTTTATTTCACTTCAAATACAACAAACACTTCAACTAAAACTTCAACTATTATTCGAATGTCTATCGCCTTACTAGATCGCTTCGCGTACCGCACTGTAACTTCCTCTTAACTGTGTCTATATACTTGTGGCTAGCGTTTATATATCGTAATCGAATGCGCTAGAAAATTTCGCCAAAATTCCATCGAAATCGGTAGCATTTTTCTCGCTGCATCTAGAGCGGTAGCGCAAATCGTACATTCGCGTCCTCTTAGCTACGTCACGATTCGTTTATGGCTACCAGTGGCGTCCGGCTATTTTTTTTAGGGCACGATTCACAACAATATTATCCGAAGTTGATCGAGTAAAAAAGAGACGGAACAAGTTAGGAGAGAAAGGATGATAAATTGAATTGAATGCCACTGAATGAAAACATTCATCAACTGATTGTTGATCTATTTCAATAACCTAGACAGATATGAACAGGAAAGTAGTTCAGAACAAAGTGAATATGGAAACTAGATTTCTCAATATACTAGATATGATTTCGAATCTCAAATGTTTGTCAAAATTTACTCGAGTTCGTTTTAGTATCCAGCCCAGTCAACAAAATAATGCAAAATCTTTTCTGAAAGAGGAATTCAATATTTTTTCATTGATGAAATCAGTGTTATTGGTAACAATATGATGTAAATACTAATTTTTACCAAACAAAAAACATTTCTTTTATTTACTTATATCAACTTTCGATATGAGGCTCATTTAGGCCTTACTCAAATTACAAAGTAATCTGCAAGAATCAAAAGTATGATTGTATTTGTTTGAAGTACATCCATCGAAATTTTGCAACACAGTTAATGGCCTCTGATCTCATCCAGTGGAAAATATTATTTCTTCCTCAGAAAGCTTGACTAAATTGTATTCTTCGAAATTGATGTAGAAATAGAAACGATCTCAAAATAAGTATTTATTATTCTTTGTACAAATAAAGTAAATATGTATTGTAAATAGTGTACAGTGTAGAAAATGTATTTGCATATCATGGTATACGTATTGAGTGTATAGAAACTTTAGTTGAATATTTATCTCTCGCTGATGTAATTGTGAATAATTTTGAGCTGTTATATATTAAAAAGCCTTCAAAATAGACTGATCAATAATTTAGATTTAGTTACAAGTGCAATGTTAATTAGGTGTATGTGTATAAAGTATTCGGTTGATTTATTCGATAATAAATCGTTCTTTATTTACTTGTTATTTCATTTCATCCTACTTTCATTACAAAAAACAGCTATTTGTAAGACGAATTGAAGGTAAGTAGAACGTGTTTTTTGATCAATTCGGGATATAGAAAAAACAAAAGGGAAATATTTGATGAAAATTATAATTGACGGTGATTTAGCTTGTGAATTCCAATAATAATAAATATTGGGGGATTGTCATAATTTGTAATGCTGTTATGTATAAGGTGAACAATAAATAAAATGCTTTCATTTTATCTCCTTGAAATTTCCACTTATCTATTGCATAATATGTTACTGATTCATTTCTGCTTCCAATGAACATTTATTCAAAAAACCTGATGGGGAGTTCAAAAAATGTCCTTGTATAGAGCTTTCTTATAGAAAAGTAGGGCTGAAAATGACTATTTCTGTCCGCACGGTTGGTATATACTTGCGAAATGTTACCTGTTTCTGTCAATATTGTTTTCTTATTATTGATATGAACTGTTTCGACTGTTGTCAAATATTATGAATATCTAAAGTTGGTCGTGTTTTGTAAAATAACCTGGCCTTTACCGACTACTCGTGAAAGGAGCTAAATCGCAAACGTGTGTTTCGGGGTTATTGTCCTTCGTCATTAAAAAAGATTCAAATATGAATGTGCTTCTTTCTAAGGAGTTTAAAATCCGTATCTACATTCGCGGCATGAGTCGAAGAACCTTGAGTTAACAAGGTTTCAACTAATATTACAGAATCCAAAAATTGTTGCAATTAGAACCTCACGAAAGATTTATTTAATCTTTATTGCTAACTAACATAAAGTTATAAGCTTTGGTGCTACAATAATGGTTACCATGGTTCTTTTGAAGAAAGTTATTTTCAAGAGGGGATCCAACCAATTATGAATAATGAAAGCTTTGTCCAGAAAAACTCAATAACTATTTTAGGGTTTGACATCAAAAACCTAAATATATTAAAACCCATAAATAAATACAATATCCGATATATAGGGTGTTTCATTCAATACAGGCAAGTTGACAAATTCAAGTACAACATAAAGTGCCATCATCTCAAAATAGTTTATTTTCTCTAAATCTCTGATCATCCAAAGTTTGCCATATTGAAAATTTTCTTTCTGAAATAGAAAAATGAATTTTGACGACCCTTCAAAATCCTATTCATTTCTGGGGGAATGAAAAAGTCACACGGAGCCATGTCTGGCGAATATGGAGATTGGGGCATCGTTATAGTATTCTATTGAGAATACATTTACCTCTCGAAACTATCGAAGACTGTAATACATTGCAACAACAGTTAGATAATATACAGACTTAGTGTGAAGTAACAAACTATATCTCAATGCATCCAAATGTAAAGTGGTGTCTTAAAGTAGGAAAATGTCAGTCATCGAGTACAATTATCGAGTAGATACCATTTCACTGTCACGCAGTAACTCAATTAAAGATCTTGGTTTATATTTTGATTTATCTTTTTCTAACCACATTAGATCGAAAGTAAGTGAAGCATTGAGAGTTTATTGCTTTATAGTTCGCAAATGTAGATGTTTTTCAAATATATCTGCTCTATTTACTCTTTATGTAACCTACTTAAAGTCAAAATTAGAATATGGCTCTGTTCTATCGTCCCCGTTCTGCAATTGCTATAATACATTAATTGAAAAAGTTCAAATCTTATGGTATCCATCCTGATAGAGGTATTCCATATGAATCTCTTACCATAACATTTAATATTGAAAGTCTTGAAATCCACAACAATGTGGATGCTATGGAAGTGTTATCTTTCATAAATTTTTGTGTGCCACATTTTGAAACTAGAAGTGCAAAAAATTTTTATAACGGACTGGCCAGAAACAATTTGTATCTCAAGTC